GGATGTTAAAGATCGAGAGCAGCTGCCCGTCTGAGTAGACTACACTGACCTTGATAGACTCTTGGCGCCGTATAAGGCAGTTTCGTGTGCTCAATAACTGAACAAGGCATCCTTCAAGAGGCAAGAACGGGGACCGATTAGGGATACTGGAGATGGTCCGTAGCGGTTTGCGGGGCATCTGGCTTGCATGCAGAAGTTCCCAGGTCCAACCCCCAGCACTTCCAGTCAAAAGGATTAGGGGGCAGGTGATATGAAAGACCTCTGCCGGAGATCTGAACAATGGCTGCCAGTCAGAGTAGACAATACTATGTTAGATTACTGGTCTGATCCAGTTATAAGGCAATTTCATGTGTTCATTTGTTAGAGATGGGCTGTGGCTCAGTGGCAGAGCCTCTGCTTGGCATGCAGAAGGTCCCAGGTTCAATCCTCCACATTTCCAGTTTAAAGGATCAGGTAGCAGGGGATGTTAAAGATGGAGAGCAGCTGCCCATCTGAGTAGACTACACTGGCCTTGATAGACAAGAGCTCTGGCGCCGTATAAGGCAGTTTCGTGTGCTCATGTGGTTGCGTACACAGAATACAGTGGCTACGGGTAAAGAGAAGAGAAGAAGAGGAGATTGGATTTATACCCTGCCCTTCACTACCCGTAGGAGGCTCAGAGCGGCTTACAATCTCCTTTCCCTTCCCCTCCCCACAACAGACACCCTGCAAGGTAGGAGGGGCTGAGAGAGCCCTCTCAAGAACTGCTCCTGAGAGAACAGCTCTGAGAGAACTTGTGACTAACCCAAGGTCAGACCAGTGGCTACATGTGGAGACGTGGGGAATCAAACCTGGTTCTCCCAGGTTAGAGTCCACGCTCCTAACCACTACACCGAACTGGCTCTCAAAGAGGGACTCTCGGAATTCATGTTAGCACCACCCGAAGCATGTTGTCTGGACACGTTGGCACTAGACAGTGTGGGGAAGCTGTGTGCGAGGCTCAGACCATGCCGTGGCTCTTGTTGTCAGGTAGATGACGAAGTCTATCCTTGGGCCATGAAAGCTGGAGAACAATGCCAGAGACATCTGGCTGCTATGTAAACCACTCATTCCCAAAGGGCGTGCTGTGAAAGAACTGCTCGATTAATGAATGAATCGAAGCAATGAAGGCGCTTGCGGGTTCCACGCAACAGACGGGAACTGCCCAGTGTGTCTCTGCGTGATTCCCTGTTCTGGCATTGCTGCATCCCAATCTGCTTCTTTGCCCCTCTCTGCTTCTGAGTGTAACTGGCTCATTCAGTCACTCCAAATGCAGATATAACGCCGGTTGAGGCCCAAGCTACTCCCTGCAGAGAATCCTGTGTTTCCTTTATCTGCCCCCTTTAAAAAACTTTAGAGCAGGCTGTATCTGTGCAGGAAGAAGAGCCTGTGGTGAGGCTACTTAGTGGTGCAAATTGCCATCAAGTCCCAGCCAATTTATGGTGACCTGGTGGGGGTTTCAAGGCAAGAGGTTCAGAAGTGGTCTGCCATTGCTTGCCTTCACGTGGCAGTCCTGGATTTAGGGTTACCAGGTCCTTACCTCTGGCCAGCAGGGGGCTCCAGCCTGCTCCCCACACCAAAGAGCCCCGCCGTACCTGATGTACCTGGCGCAATGATGTCATTTGGAAGTGATGTCATCGCACTGGGCATGTTGTGAAGGGAATGCTCTAGCATTTGGCTAAAAACTCTATGGTCACCATAGAGTTTTTAGTCAAATGCTAGAGCGTCCCAGTGTGATGACGTCACTTCCGGGTAGCATCATCACACCAGGCATGGCGGACCTCTTTTGGGGTAGGGCTCCCCCCACTGGGGGGTTGGCCAGCGGTGGATTGGGCCCCCCAAAACTGGGGGAAACCCCACCCCCATCAGGGGGACAGCAACCCTTCCTCGACTTCCTTGACGGTTTCCCATCCAAGTCCTAACCAGGGCTGACCCTGCTTAGCTTCCAAGATCTGACAAGACTGGGCTAGCCTGGGCCATCCAGGTCAGGGCTACTTAACCCCTTGATTTCTGGTCTCTTTCCTGCTCAGAACGAATCCTCCTTCTGCTCGCAGCTACCATTTCCAGGGAGAAAATCTGGGTCTTTTCATCTCCCCCTCCCCACCAGTGGGTGAAAAATCAGTTCAAGGAGGTTGATTTTGAATTGAAATAGGAGTGTGGGTGCGAGTCACGCACTGCCACTCTCAACCTATCACTGAGTCAGGTTGCAGCCTAACTTTTGGTTTAAAAAATGCAGAGAGGGGGGAGAAAAATAACAGAATTCCAGAACTCCGCATAACCTGTAGTTAAAGGCTCGAAGGAGGCACACCCTGTGTAGTGATTCATGCAGAGTTTTCATGCAGAAAAGTCTTCATTCTGGAAAGAAAGGAAGTGCGTAGTGGCTATCAGAAGTTTGGATAACTTGATATAAATTGATTGTTGCCCTTAGCTTTCCTAAGGGAAGTTGTCGTCTTGGAAGGGGATTTTTGTGCTCTCCTCTTGCAGCGTTAAAAGTCCCCTTTCTGACCCCTCAGCAAAGGTTTCAACAGATATCAAAAGGAGGGCAGCAAGATTCCAGTCACAGGCAAATCAGCTAGAACTTGGGCAGATTGCGATTGGAGGGGCTGAACACGAAGGATTTCCTTTTAGGTATCACTCTATTCTCCCTCTGCACAGAGACGTCTACCGTTAGGACCGCCAAACTCCAAGTGGGGCCCGGAGATCTCCCGGTAATCCAACCAATCTCCAGACGACAGAGATCAGTTTCCCTGTCGAAAATGGCCGCTTTGGAAGGGAGGGTGGACTCTATGGCATTACACCCTGCCGAGGCCCCTTCCCTCCCCAAACCCCGCCCTCCCCAAGCCCCGCCCCTAGAATCTCCAGGTGTTTCTCAACCTTATTGACAAGAATAAATTTTGTTTTAAAAAAATCCGTTGCACAGTAAAACAAGGAAGTCATCTCATTGTCTGAATTGTACAAAGCTCTCCTGCAATTTCCCCCTACCGTTAAAATCAACCGTGTCATAGGACCTTCCGGAATTACAGCTAATCTCCAGACTACTGAGATCAGTCCCCCTGGGGAAAATGGCTGCTTTGGAGGGTGGGGTCTGTGGCATTACACCCCGCTGAGATCCCTCCCCCCAAACCCCACCTTCCATAGGCTCCACCCCCCAAATTTCCACGCATTTCCCAACCCGGAGCCGGCAACCCTATACACACATGTAGTGTCATTTAGATGATGAAGAGATTGAAAAAGAAGAAGAGATTGAATTTATAGTGTTTCTCAACCTTATTGACAAGAATAAATTTTGTTTTAAAAAAATCCGTTGCACAGTAAAACAAGGAAGTCATCTCATTGTCTGAATTGTACAAAGCTCTCCTGCAATTTCCCCCTACCGTTAAAATCAACCGTGTCATAGGACCTTCCGGAATTACAGCTAATCTCCAGACTACTGAGATCAGTCCCCCTGGGGAAAATGGCTGCTTTGGAGGGTGGGGTCTGTGGCATTACACCCCGCTGAGATCCCTCCCCCCAAACCCCACCTTCCATAGGCTCCACCCCCCAAATTTCCACGCATTTCCCAACCCGGAGCCGGCAACCCTATACACACATGTAGTGTCATTTAGATGATGAAGAGATTGAAAAAGAAGAAGAGATTGAATTTATACCCTGCCCTTCACTACCTCAAGGATTCTCAGAGCGGCTTACAATCTCCTTTCCCTCCCCCTCCCAACAACAGACACCCTGTGAGGTAGGTGGGGGCTGAGAGACCTCTCTCGAGGACTGCTCATGAGAGAACTTGTGACTGACCCAAGGTCGCTCCAGCAGCTGCATGTGGAGACTTGGGGAATCAAACCCGGTTCTCCCGGATTAGAGTCTGTGCTCCTAAGCACTACACCAAACTGAACTTGTAGATTCTTTCGTACTTCCTCAGGACCCTTCGGAAAGCATTTGTGAGGTTGCCTGCTGCAGGTTGGGAAATTCCTTCAGATTTTGGGGGCGGAGCCTGGGGAGGGCAGGATTTGGGGAAAGGAGAGACCTCACAGAGTATAATGCCATAGAGTCCACCTTCCAGTGCCCATTTTCTC